ATTGTACACAGGTAAGTTGGGGAACTAGGGATCGAGCCCTGGGATCTGCATCAGCTACTTCGAACTGGTGAATACCGTTTCAAAAAGCTCTCCCGAAAAGTAATAAGACCTATAGAAAAAAAATAAATAATAATAAGACCCATGATGGCAATATGCCAATACTATTGTATTCGCTGAAGTGAAAAACAGGAACACTGTAGAGAAGAGAGGCATTATAGTGACCAAACGTCCGTAAATTCAAAATTTTTCAACTCGTCGCCGTTTTCTGTCTCACATCGTCCCATTATCTTTTTTCTTTTCTCTCTACCCCCAAACCTTATCCACTCATCAGGATTCCAACTCATGACATGTTTGTTAGCAGTTAGTCCCATCTGTGACATTGTGTCTACCATTACGCCACATGGGCGGGCTGGGTGTGAGTGCTCACTCGCCCCCCAAAAAAGTCCGTATGAGGATGCTCGCAGGACATATGGATGTATTTCGGTCGGAAATACGGCCAAATTCGCTCGAGAAAGTCTTCTTGCGACTATGCCCTTGAAGTGTACTGCGTACGTACCATTCCGTTCCGTTGGACCGCTTTCACGGATTTCACTCGCCTCTCAGTTTCCGCACACTCAACCACCACCACTGCCAACGGCCCTGGCTGGGACGCGCTAACGGGGGTAAACGGCTGGCAATCCTGGCCCACGTCTTGAGCATAAATTAATCTCCGTAGGATCTACGGTCAGGGTGAACCGGGGGCCTCGACCCTGGTTTGATTTTAAATTTATTTACTTAATAATTAATAATCACTAATAAATAAACAGCTGGCGATCCTGGGGCACGTCTTCAGCATAACTGATCTCCGTATGATCTACGGTGAGGGTGGTGAACTTGTTTGTTTTTCAATTTATTTTATTTAATAAATTATTAATCATTAACTAATTATCTGTCCACCCACGGCAATAAGTGCCGATACAGTAAAGGCAGGCCCAGCAACGAGGTCCCACCTGCGCAAGGATTAAGAGATACTGACTGTTTCTTGTACCAAAAAAAACATGTTTCGCTTGCCCCGGTGATAAGCAACCGGACTGGTGGCCCCCATATTTTATATATATATATATTGTCACATTGTGAATCAGAGCGCAAAAAAGGGGGAAGAAAAAAGGAAAAGGAAAAAAGGGGAAGGGGAAGGAGGTAAGGAAAGCTCCACCTGTTCATAACCTCTTACGTACAAGGCCAGCCACGTGGATGACAGGTTGAGCGCTGGCTGCCCCCATCCCCGTGTGTCACAAGGACCCACTTGCACGCAGCCAAAAGGCAAAGAGGTAAAGAAGGGGAGGAGGAAACCAAACCTGAAAGGAGGTAAGGAAAGCTCCACCTGTTCATAACCTCTTACGTACAAGGCCAGCCACGTGGATGACAGGTTGAGCGCTGGCTGCCCCCATCCCCGTGTGTCACAAGGACCCACTTGCACGCAGCCAAAAGGCAAAGAGGTAAAGAAGGGGAGGAGGAAACCAAACCTGACAGGGAAAGAAAGATAGGGAAAGAAAGATAATCCAATTATCACAAAGCAAATAACACATCCCACAGATCAACGTATCTTTTTTCTTTTTTTCTTTTTTTTCTTTCTTTTTTCTTTTTTTCTTTTTTTCTCTTTTTCTTTTCTTCTTTTTTTCTTTACCTGCCCCCACCTCGGCAGATAGGACAGCTACGGTGAGGATGATGTGGATGTTCACAAGGATGCCCAAGGAGAGCTGCGCCAGCACAGCATTCTGCAGACGGCTAGCACGAACCATCCCATCAAAACAGTCCTGACAGAGGACGTGTTGTCCACATGTCAAAAACACGGCAGGACGTTCATCACAGTGCGGCATCATACAGTTCTGATAGCGTCCTTGGGCACAATAGGGACAACGTATATCTGGGTGATAGGGATGTGTACAATGAGGAAAAAATATATATTTTTGCCGTATTCTCCTCGTCAGAAGACAGCTACATATATATCGTCAAACAGAGCTGCCCGGTAAACCGTAGGCAGAGAGGGAGGGGGAGAAGAGGACAATAAACGAGGGGCTGTGACAAACCGCTTCGTCGGAGTTCCACCGACTCATCAGGAGGCTGAACCCTCAAAAACAGTCTGCAGAATCCCATAGTAACTGATTACACTGTAAGTGATAATCCACCTAACCCCGGTCAGTTGTGGTTAAGCATCAACGACTGCCCGACAACTGATCCTTGATGTGGGCACCAACCACTGCCCCCCCGGTACACCGTATGCAGAGAGGGGGAAGATGAGATTATTACTCGTTCGTGGCTTCGCCGTTAACTTCTCTGCATCCCAACAAAATAAACAGCAAATAATGTAATTGTCACATTTATCCGACGGTAAGAACACACAAAAGCCGATCACTCATTGCTGGCCGCTAGATTACACAAATTGAAAACTGATCACGAGCTCGCTGACTGGTTCGCAATGTTGTGATGGGCACAACTGCGGTAGCCCGTTGAGAATGCACCTGGACAGCTTGACGTGCAGAAAGCAGACCTCCCCTGCGCTTGTGAGGCTGCTCATTGACGTGCGCAATCTAACGGGCCGGCGAACGCGAGTGCGCTGTTCATCTGCTTACTTTTCTGCCAAAAAAAGAAGAAAAACAAAACAGGAGGGCCATGGTCGCTGGTCCCGGTCAGATGCCCGCGAGTCAGAATGCACCTTGGATCTTCACGTCGAGATTCTGATCATGCACTTGGTCATCCCCCACGTCCAGGTGCCTTCTCACCCCATCAGATTTGGTATTTCCGACTCTAATTAGTGGGTCATCTCCGTGTTTTCCCCCTGACACAATCTTTCAGAAAAAAACATAGCCATCAATTCGTCGTCAGACGGGGAGCAGGAGGGCGAAGAAAAAACAAAAAAAAACAGATCGATCACAGATATTATCCAACAACTAAACTTGATAATACTGTAATTATCTAAGTTATATCCCGACTCGTGGCGATGATGGATATCTTGCGTGGAACATCAGCGGGCACCCAAGAAGGAAAGGAGGGGGGGGGAGGGAGAGGATGAATTTTCGCTGTACTCACCTGCTGCGACTTTGGTTTCCCGCCACCACCGAAAAGTGCGAATGCGACAACAGCGTCCCTGCACTGTCCTCGGGAGAGACGGCTATGGTTGTGGTTATGGTTGTGGTTATGGCTATGGCTATGGCTATGGCTACTGGGGGGATGGAGATGGATCGCGCGCTTAAGTCTGGTAACGACCTCCTCCTCCGCTCCCGGAATCCCTCTATTGGTCCACCTGCTGCTTAGAGGACAAGCTCTGGAACGGCAGCTCTTATCAATACGATTTGAATTCGCCGCCGTTGTAAAGCAATGGGAAGCAGGACCGCCGGCTAGCAGCGCCTCCATCGAAGTACACGTGGCATTCATCTGCTCTGATGAACTCCACACGAGATTAGACGGACACGTCACACTGGACACCAAGACGGCGGGGTGCGGCAGTGTGCGGCAACGCGCCCAAGGCCACCCCAGCGGTGTCGAAATAGTGAAGTCCTAGAGGTTGTCATTTGGGACATCCGCTTTCATAGGTGAGGCATGGCCCATGCGCACCCGAGGAGGACACGCACAAACCGAGAGAAGCCCTACAACTCCTCCGTCAGGACGTCAGTTGAGCACGGACCCTTGAGAAAGGAACAACAACAAAAGAGAAGAGGGTTCCTCTATTTATCCGTGTCATCGTCGCGCAGGCGCCATGCTAATCTTCTGTCTATCGCTCGGATGTTCCCATGGACTTTGGGGAGGATTGTATTTTATTTATTTTTTTGTTTTTTTAAGGGCAGGATTTCCGCATGGCGATGGCGCCCAATGATCGTCGAGAAATGGTCCAAAACGTTTTTTTTTCAGGGGACGATTTCCGCATGGCGATGGCGCTCAAAGATCGTCCAGAAATGGGGTCCAAAACTTTCAAATACGAAACGATTCGTCGAAGAAATTTCATAGGCCGTTTTGGCCCGACGGCATACGCAATTGCGAAGCTCGCTTGTGGCCTCTGGAACCGAATCCAGCGGAGATTGGCTTTTTGGCGGGAGGGAACGTCCCCGTTCCCGGCCACGCGCGGAGTGCGGGGCCCACCTGTTGTTGTTTTAGTTTTTGGCCGGCCGCCGGTTTAGTTTTTGGCCGGCCGCCGGTGGCCGTGCGCGCACCCGAGGCAGAGTACTGCGCTTACCAGCGCGAGCATTTCGATTCGGGCCTTGGGCGGTACCGAAAGCGGCAGGCGGCAGGCCACTTTGAAAAGGGGCAGTTGCATACTCACGAGCCTTGAAAGGTAGCTCCGTCAACTTAGGCTCGTGTGAAGACAGTGAAAGGAAAGGATAAGGTCAGTCGGAACGAGAGAGAAAGGAACCATCCATTTCAAATAACATCACAGCTCCATGCGAAAGAACGAGACATTTCCATCCAAATATGCCGTGATCCCTGGCAAACAGGATGACATGAAGGAAAAACTCAATCGGCATAGGGATGCCCAATTCCAAAAACTGAAGACGGCTCCTCCACCATGCACATTCATGAAGAGAACATGTGGCACCCTCACCAACCTCCGCCAATCCACCTACATGCGCCCAAGTGTCGACAGTCGGCCTGAGCCATCAACCCAACCCAGCAATCATCACTCCGCCAACCCAGCCACTGTGTCAATCCAATCGCATCCTGCACTCCATCCCCAGCTACACATCGATCTTGCATGGTCGCTATCAACACATAGAGACTTCCCAATCTGTCGACCACCGTCCTGCTAGCCAGTCACCCTGAGCTGGCTTACAGCATAAGACAGAGCAAGAGAATCGTGCTAGAGAGATTTATAGCTGTGGAGATGGGGAAGCAACTGCAAGGAGAAGAGGGAAAGGGAGGGAAGAAACTCCATGGTGATGGTGACGAGGGACTCGTAGCTGGTCGGACTGTGGTTCGAGGGGCTTAACTGCTCTCCACGCTGCTATCCAATCTCAACAGCCGTCTTTTTTTCCTTTTTCCTTGGGGGGTTTAACTAAGGCGCAGTCAAAAACGCAGTTTCTAAATGCATTTCAAAACTGTGTTTTAGGCTTTTTGCAGTCTAGTCAGGTCCGAGTTTCAAATGCAGTTGAAACTCGGCTTTGCAGAAAAGTCGCACCGCGGAGTTTGTAACTGGAGTTCAGTCAGGCACCTGACCCTTTTTTTTTTGTTTTTTTTGTTTTTTTTTTAATCCGGGGTGTGGCCGAGGCATCTCCGCCTTGGCCTGGCCACGGGATGAGATGCTCTTTTCTTTTCTTTTTTACCCCCTCGGGTGTGGCCATGGTCAAGCCACGTGAAGAGATTAAAAAAAAAAAAAAACGCATCTTGCCGTGTGGCTCTGCCACGGCCAAAATGCCTCGCTACGCCCGAAAAAAAAAAACAAAAAAAAACGACCACGTTGTCGTAGCACGCGGGCGCAAGTGTCGGAGCTTCACGACAGTGTCACTCAGGAGAGTTTTGAGGACAATTGCAGATACCACTCCGGTTGTGCTCGCCAGCTATACGTCTCACGGTTTCGTGCGACAGGACATGGTTCCGTGAGGTGCAACTTACCTCTCCTTGAGAGATCACCACCCTTACGTAGGATTATCCCTGTTGAGCTTTTGACCCACATATAAAGGTTTTTACTTGCAATCGTAGAGATAGGCCAGCCGAGGGCGTTGTCGGGGCAAATGCCCTGACAAGGGTATTTGCCGGGGATTTTAAACATCGGACGTTGTCCGACTCTTTCGTTGGATTAAAGTACTTGATGAGGCTGACGTTGCCAGAAAGTTTATTTAGACCAACCCTACGACCGAGAGACTTGAATTTTTAGAACCTGACGTCGTTGACGTAGGACGTCATTGACGTCCGATCGAAACAATGGGAGTCGGTGGTACGACCTGTCCGCCGTGGTTTCCGACAAGGCCGCAAGAGCACGCGGTCGTGGAAAGGCTAAGGCTAGACTATTTTACCTAAAGTACTGACACGCGGCTGCTACGCCGCGCGATTCGGGGCCTTTGTGGGACGGGAAGGTGATCGCGCTGGAAATTGAAACACGACGGGAAGGAGGTATTAGCTGCGGAGTAGATTCTGCGCCAGGGGCTGTGGTGCAGCCGATAGGGTCAGCGGTCTGCCCTACTTGAACCTGGAGACCGCCGCTGTTGACGCTGGCGGCCAGCCAAGAAACCAAGTAAGGAGGGTTGGGCCTATGGGACGCAAGGCAAGGCCTACTGGGTGCTGCACCACTTCATATAAAAGTGTTGCAGCTTAGCTCCTGTGAAACGAGCTAGCCTAGTAGGTACCGCCATCAAATTGTCACCCTGCAGACTCAAGGATCGAGCCCAACGACCGGCCTACTGGGCGCAACTCTTTTCGGAGCTGCCTAGGCTGAAGGGCATGGCCGATTTCGACCATGTGATATTCAAGATCGCACGGCTAAAATCAGTCGCGCACACAGATACAGCATGGCCCCTGCGAAAGGATGACACACATAAATCGAGAAAAGGTCCAATCCCCGTGGGGATTTGAACTTGGGTCTATATTTCAACAGTCATGGTGAACCCACGACGTGACTGTTGGCATATGCCAACGGCATTTAAAAAAAAAAAAAGAAAAAAAGAAAAAAAAAAAAAAAAAAGGAAAAACAAACAAAACAACAGTCTTTTCAGACTGTGTGGGAGCACAAAGGCTCCCACTTTGTTTTGGAAAGATGACTGTAGACACGAGATCTTGAGATCTCGTGGCCCACAGTGCACACACAGGAAAACTGTGGGAGTTGAGTGGAGAGGGAGAAAGAAAGAAATGAGAGGATGAGAGAGAGGAGGACCTACTCCTCCTGACCTGCCAGCTGCCTCTCCGTCGTCAAGGGGGGGGGAAGAAGAAAAAAAAAAAAAAAAAAAAGTAGGTAACCAGGCATCTAGACCATGTGCGTGAAGTTTTTTAGATTTTTTTATTAGGCAAATATTTTTCTAAAAATCATCAAAGTCGGGGTAATTTTTGCACCCCGCTCTAAGCTTGTCGGGATTTGAACTCGTGAATTTCATGAGTTGTTTCCCTACCTCTCCCAACCTGACAACTTGCCATCCCCGTTTTCAGGGGAGGGCAGGGGAGAAAAAATAAATATAGAGAGGGAAGAAAAAGGACCAGTCACGGTCGCGAACGTGGTCGCGGCCGTGCACCAAGGCCAAGCAGTATTGGCCTGAATGCAGTCATTCAGGCCAGAGTTGTGAACTGGAGGGTCGGTGAGGGGAACTTGGCTGGAAACAACCATTTTTCCGTTGAACTTGTACTCAGTGTGGAGTTGAGTGCAGGGAAAAGGGAGAAAAAGAGGGGGGCAGTTGAGTACAACTGTCACCCTAAGTGAGTGGCTGAGGTGAAACAGCCTCAGTCCGTTGATCTGACTCAGATCAACGGCCCCAGGCAAGTGACGAATTTTGCGTGGGGGCAGTTGAGGCTGCTGCTACCTTCCTCGGCCACTACAAAAGAGGCAGTTGTCCCCCAGTTGCCTCACACTTGCCTCCAGCTGGCAGTGTGTGACAGCACACTTGCGTCACTGTTGGAGTGTTGGAGAGGAGGCAAAAGTGTTGTCGACAAAGCTGGAGGATAGCAAAGGAGCATGGCAAGGGAGGAGACAACCATAGCCTTGGTTGGAGCACTCTGGTCCAACCCTTGGCAGACTGGTCTCAAGGGACACTCTGCGACAGCGTGGTGAGAAGCGGCAGCGCAGCGTAGCAAGGAGTCACGGGGAGCACGGCAACTGGTGGAGGTGTGCCGACCGATATTTTCAGCAATCATAACCTATTTTTATGGGGTTATGCTACCGCGGAGTCAGCACTACACCTTTATTTTGAAGGGTGGCGCTACCGTCGGCGACACTTTTTAGGGGTGACGTTGCCGTTTTCACGGCACGTCGGTGCGACACTTTGTTTTGAAGAATGACGTTGTCGTTTTTTTTACGGTAATACGGCGAGGCCTGTTGCAACCGTACGTGAGAGTTAAATAGACTATGCCTTGAGAGAAAAGAGAAATCCCCTTTTTACCTCTTACTTTTTAAAATTATTATGGTTGGACGTTATAATTTGTGGCAGCCGTCAAAGTCAAGCTCCTTTATTTATCTCCAGGCCTTAGGTGATGGGGCTTGTCTCCAAAGCCACGATAGTTGACTGTCACCACAGGTTGGAACCTGTGTACCACCGACTCTCCACATTGTCGAGCGAATCGGTCCGGCACCGCACAGGGCAGCGCGGGACTGTCTCGACCGCGTCACGTAGGAGTTGGACTCAATCCTCGTCGTGAATATACATGGAGCTTCCGCAAGCCACTCCAGCAGAGTGCACCAGCCATACCTCTCGCGAGACCCTGCGACAGGATAGGGCATATGCGAGGCACGACTTACCTCCACCTTACGGGAGTTGTCACCTCCCTTCGGTGGGCGTATCCCCGCCGAGCTACCAGTCCACAATACGAAGTTGATCAGCTGCAATCGCAGAGGTGCACCAGCCGATGGTCTTTCTCGTTCGCTGTAGCCTAGGGGGTACGCTCGGTACTATGCCTCTATCGAACCCGCACACGAACCGGCATCTTGGGGGGCTGAGGTCCCAAGCGGGATTCATCGTCGGTCGACTAGGACGCATCTCACACGCCACGCGCACACCACTATAAAGAACATAAAAATAACACACACACACACACACGTACATATATATGTACAGAACGAC